GGACCAGCCCCTAATGTTGCCACCACCCATGATGCCCCAGGAGCCTGGCTGCGGGCGGATGTGGCCTCCAGGTCTGCCCGCTTCCTCGCCGCTTCTGCCTACAGCAACTTCAGCTGTCTGATGAGAAGTTTTTCTTGTTGTTGATGCCTCTGGGGGAAACGATGTGGTGGGAGGGTGGTGGGGCACATCCACACTCACTTAAGCTTGGATGTAACCCAGGTTCCAGAATCTCTGTGCCCAGGGTGGCAACAGTGAGTCCCTTCTGAGACATCTGGCCCACTGAATCCCCCAGCGTGCTCCTGCTTTTTCTCGGGTGGATAGACGCACCTCCAGTCCCAACCCACCACTGGGCGGGACTTCCTCCTTGAGAGCTGACTTCCTGGTACTGGGCCAGCTCAAGCCAGGTGGTGTGGGGAAGAGCAGGGGGGCCTGAGTCAGACAGTCCTAGGTGGAATCCCAGTGATGCCATCCATTGACTGCGCTGCTTAACCTCTCTGAGTTCCTTTGGAAAGCAGGTGCGAGAGTACCTGTGTCAGAGGCTGTAGAGATGAGGCGCCTGCAGGTCTTAGCTCAGCGCCTGGCACACGGAAACGTTGTGTGGCTACACCCGTTATGGACAGAGCGGAAAGGGCCTCCTGAGTCTGGCCCTAGGCCTGGTGCCGTTTTCCCTGCAGGTTCACTGGGCACAGGCACCTCCTGCTCTACATGGCACCTCGTCCCTTGGTCTGTTTCCTGCCTGTTCTCCAGCGATCACTCACATGCCTTTGATCCCCACTCTGCCTGCCACAGGAGCCAGGGTGCTGGGGAGCCAAGTGTGTGCCCGGTTCGCCTTTGGTGAGGACCACAGTGGCCGTCATCAAAGGAGCTCTTTGGTCCCTGGTCGCCAGCTCTGTCCCAGTGCCTCTCCCAGACCCTTCGCTACTTGTGGTCATCCTGGGCCCGGAACAACCACAGGAAGGGTGGGGGAGTGAAGGCTGTGCAGCCGCCGGAGCTCGGTTCCACGGGGGCTTCTGAGTGTGCCCTGCGCAGAGCACCCAGAGCAGGGAGGTGGGTGTCCCGGGGGGAGCTGAGGATCGCTCCCTCACTCAGGGGTGCTTCCCTACAGTTCCACTCATTCATTCATCATTCACCCAACCCACATGTTTGCCAACACTGGCAATTATGACACCCCCCCCCCCAATTTTTGCCAATCTAAGGGTGAGAAAAACATCCCGTCTTAATTTGCTCTTCCCTCTGGCCATGAAGCTGGGATGTCTTCATCTGGCTGTTGCCCATTTCTTACTTCCTTCTCTGGGAATCCCTTCTTCCTATTCTTGGTCCATTTTCCTTGTGGGCTTTCTCTTGTTGATGGATAGTCACTGTCTTCATATATGGTGAGTACTAGTCCCTTACCTGGGACGTTTGTTGAAAATCCCCCTGGGGCTGTCCTGTGTCTTTCCTTTTTTTTGAATTCCTTTGTCACGCAGACACTTCACGCATTTACAGTCAAGTGTTCAGTCTTCTGAATGTCGTCCCCTCCGGCAGCACCCCTCACACCTGTCTGTCTGTCTGTCTGTCTGGCGGAGACACCTGGGGCCAGCGCTGCATTTTACCGTGTCTGGCTCCTCGGCCAGTGCAAGGCTGGGCACAGTTTTGTGCCTGAATGAGTTCTTTTTTTCTTTTCTTTTCTGAGAACAGGTTTTGTGCCTGAATGAGGGAGTGAATGGAAAGCTGTGCGCAGCCCTCCCTGTAGAGATGGCAGTGATCAGGGCGTGAGTCACATGAGTCACGAGCTCTTCCCGGCTCAGCTGACATTTCCGAAGCTCCCTCGAGTGAGCGGAGAAGCCCCTCCTTGCAGGACGCCCTCCTGAGCAGGCACAGGAGGCTGTGCTGTCACAGACATGTGAGGGGATTAGCTCTCAAGACTCTGAGGGGCAGCGTGTTCTGCGTATGTGTGAACGAGGCGTTAGACATCTCGGAGGACCTGCGTGTGTGTGTGTGTGTGTGTGTGTGTGTGTGTGTGTG